CTGCTCTGCATATCTCTAATTCATCACTTCCTACGGCTGCAGAGCATTTTGTGATGAGGAATCTTCATATTTTATTTCCCCTTTCCCCTAGAGATGGACACCAAGTTGCTGCACACTGTCTGGATGCAATGGACATTCTCATAAAGGCTGCCTTATGGGCTGAGGTGAGCATCTCTGGGAGGTTACAGAGCCATGAGGATGATTCTCACTCAACTTCTCTTGGTAAGGTTGGATTGCTCTCCCAAGTAAATGCACTAATCCACATGCCCATTATATTTTTGCTACAGGCCCGGTGCACGAATTCATTCACAGGTGGAATCCCTCAGCCCGGCCTGCGCCCTCTCGCAGTTCGGGACCCCTTGCTCCGTACCGCCTGCCTACAGTGGAGGTGGTAGAGGCTCTTGCCACCGCCACTGAGTTTGCCGGCCGTGAACCTGGCTTCTGGCTGAGCAGCACTCCCCCTGTGGGAGCACATTGACCACCAGGGGGCAGCTCCTGCATTGAGTGTCTGCCCCCTGGTGGTCAATGAGCATCATAGTGACCGGTCGTTCTGCCATTCGGTCAATTTGCATATTAGGGTTTTATTATATAGGATAAGTGACTTATACAGAATACACTGAGTCTCATATGGTCATGTATTCAAGGTCAAACATATATTAAGGATCAAGAGTCTCAGGATCAAGAGTCAAGTCTTTTAATTCAGTTCTGAGGCTTTTTCCATTGAAAAGATGCCTTTCTGAGGACACCTACCCTCCACTTACCCATAGAGATGTGCACAAACACAAATGCAAAGTTCCACTAAATTACTACTTAACACATTGTTTTGCGGGTAGTTTTTATTGCGCGCTAACAGGTGGCGCAGGCCATTTTTGCTAATTTTTTGCGCAAATGGCAACGTTCAGTAAAATTACGATAACTTTAGTTTACGTATTTATACATTACCCGCATTCTACCGCTAGTCTATAAAAAACGTATTAATACGTGTCCCGTGCTCTACTACCAGTCAACGTAAAATGTATAAGTAAAACGTATAAATACTTTTCCCGCATACAATGTGTTAAGTGATATTATCATCTTTCACTGCCCCTCATTCAACAACTTTTTCTGAATGGCAGCTACACGGCTTTTTTCTTCATAAGTTCAAGGTTTTATTTCCTTTGATTGTCAAAGCACCTGTACTGAGCAGGTATGGATTAAGAAAAATCTCCATCCTTTCTTTGAAGGAACTTAAAATCTAATTTCCTCTCATAACCACAGTCAACATGAATACAGGTTGCAGATTTTCAAAAGCTTTCTGTGGTTCTGTTTTCTTGCATCTGTCAATTTCATGGCCTCAGAATCCCTCAAAATTCATCATCTTACCTGGTCCCTGTTCTCTATTTCCAGAGACTACAAACTCCCTCAAACTTCAGGTCCCAAATATTCAAGTCATTTCTGAAGACAGTTACAAGGCTAGTGGCCAGTTCCCAGAGTGGAGTACAGTGGTTTTGTTGGGAGCACAATGCTCTCTGAGCAAATATGGTAGAACTATAAACTGGATCAACTGTAGCTGTGATTGTTTATGCCCTTGGGTTTAAAAATAATTACTTTCTTAGACATGTGGTTCCCAGATGAAATTCATGCTGTGATTTGATTTTTTTTTAATGCAAAAAAAATATTCTCTAGCAGAAATTCATCACCAACATGCTAAGGAATTTGATGACTAAAAATACTCTCCCTGTAGAGAGCATGAACGTGGTGCACAGACATGGAAAGAGAGAACACACCAGCAAGTCTGTGTGAAAAGGAATGACATTCGCAATGAACTGGGGCCCACCCTATGATTTGACTGGTATCAAAAGGCTGTCCTACAATTTAGGTAAAGTATTAGTAGATCATAGTAGAAATGATAAAAATAAATGTATGCTTCTGATGTTCAAGGAGCAATATTAAGACTAGTAAAGGGTAACTAAAAAGAGCCATTAAATTGAAGATATCTCTACATAACTGTTATCTCTCAAATTTAATCTGTAATGATCTGTTTTAGTAATTGCCTGACTAGTAAGTATATAGTTGTAATAAATGTCTTTTGTTTTATTAAAGAGAGCTGGTCTTTACGGGGGGGGAAAAAAGGCTGTCCCACATATCAAAAAATCTTTGCTGTATTAAACAAGGAATTATTTCAAATGCTTACCATTAACACTACATAGAATCAAATTAATTCCCTAAAGGCAAATTACAAGTTGGGAGAATGCAGCACAAGATATTCTTAATGTCTCCATTCTGATTCTGAGATGGAACCTGTACTTGATATGTGCCGATTCTGTACACGATTAAGTGGAGCTGACCCTTCCCTCTCAGAAAATGTTATCCTAGTTCCTGGGGAAAGAAACTGCTTAGTTGCTTCAAAAGAAGACCATTGAAGCCGGGATTTATCCAGGGGCAGGTGAGCAGAAATGGGTAATGTAAGATGAAAGCCGAGACACTGACAGGTTTTTGTGCTGGGCCTCTAAACCCAAGGCCATTATTAAGGCTTTAGGGGTCTGGGGTCTAATTCAATCTGCAAACTTGTGTTTTGATTTAGCTCCAACATGTTGGTGTTTGTTTAATTTATTTGAATGTCCTAGGAGAGGCATGAAGTCTAGTTAACCCCAACTCCCTCCACTCCCAATTGTTTTCGTACCCCTAACTCGTTCTGATTACTTACCTGGCCCTGAAATCTATGGAGTATGCAACCACTGTTTAAACACATATGTTGCTTTAGGAAGGTGGTTTTGTTTTGTGGTCCCAAACATCTACTTCCCATCCACTCCCACCACTGATCCACGTATCCCCTGAAGAAACGAAATCTTGACTTTCTAGCACTTCAAACCCATCCCACACTGGAATATAAACTCTATAAGAGAAGTGATACTGTGCTGTTTTTTGTTTCGTTTTGTTTTGTGTTTTTTTTTTATGTCACCCAGTATCTAAAACTGGCACCTGGGAGGCAATTAGTAAATATTTGTTGAATTAATGAATGAATAAACTGCACCTTCTAGTCTCAGCGTCAGCAAAGCTCTACATTTGAAAGTTAATTACAAAACTTCTTAGTGCTTTTCTTTTGCACATATTTGCTGTTGGTGCCTGCTTTACGTGTAAGATAAGACGAGACGAGCCGAGGATGCACCTGTATGCTCTGTAAAGAAGCCTGCACATGAAAGGGAGTTGGGGTTCGACACCAGGGTGACATAAAGCAAAGAGGATGACGGGGAGAAGACCATGTCTGGTTTTTAAATTAGTTCTAAAAGGAGAGAAGAAGGCAGAAATGGCCAAAGAGAGGGTGAGACGTGATGAAAAAGCTTCTGTCCCATTGATCCCTTTGATTGCCTAGCTCAACATTGTCCAATAGAAATATAATGGAAGCCACATATTAAATTCCCCAGTAGCACATTAAAAAGATAAAAAAGGAACAGGTAAAATTTATTTTAATGATATATTTTATTTAACCCAATATACTCAAAAAAGAATTATTTTAGTATAGGCACCAGCTACATTTCAAATGTTCAAAAGATGTATGGGAGCATGAGTTTGTGTGTGTGGGGGGGGAGGTTGGGGGTTAATGGGGGGGATGTGGACACATTTGTAATACCTTAACTAATAATAAAGAAAAAAAAATCTCTTTTAAGATAAAAAAAAAAAAGAAGAAGAAGAAGAAGAATGGGAGTCTGATTATGCCCTTGGATGGCCGGTTAAAGCCAGTAGTCCATCTTATTTTCCATGTGGTGATCATTAATGTCCGGTCAAGTAAAAGGATTTTCTGTACCTCTGTGATTACTGCTATGAAATCATCAGCTTGGAGAAAACATGTAGTTGTCTGTGTTAAATACTCGGCCAAACACAAAACAAATCTATGTCAAAATCCTAAAAGGCACTAATCAGCCCCACAAGTCTAGCTTGAATAAACATGACAATTCATTTAAAAAAAAAAAAAGAAGAAGAAGAAGAAAAAAGATGTATGTGGCTAGTGGTTACCACATTGGACAGCACCATCTAATGTCCCAGAAACCCTTTCCTAAACTCCCAGGCCTCCCAGCACCCTGCTCAGTGATCAGCGCCTCTAGCCAAAATGTTTTCCCCCATTCTGGGTTCTCCTGCCATTCAACTTCCCCAACTAGATAAAATCTTACTTGCTTTCTCCATCATTTTCTCCTTTGCCTTAAACAAGAATCTCACCTTCAGCAATGTACTCTATTTGACCTGCTCTAGTGAGAGACAGTGAGATTCCTTTCTGTCTTTCTGTTTCATCTTTGTATCCCCTGGCGGTTAGCACACTGCCTGGCACACCTGCCTGCCTCGCATGTGGGTGGCTTAGGGGACATGACTAGGAGGGAGGTTCAGAGGCCGCTTCTGCAGTTGGAGGCAGCAGCGCCTGGTTTCGAGGCAGCACCTTCCTGGGCAGTGCCGGCAGTGGCAGCAGCTAGCTCACCAGGCCAGTTCCTCAGTGTGTTCTGAAAGTCGTTACTGGATGCTTAGCCTACAGCCTGTTCTTCCGGCCTTTCCCATGCTTATAGTAGCTCCCCAATAAATCCCTTTCTGCCTAAACTAGTTAGTATGGATTTCACTGTTGAAACCAAGAAACTGACCCAATTTTAGTTGATTATAGTATCCATCTTCGGGTTTTTCTTTGTGCTGCTTAGCGTGTTCTACCTCTTTATCTGATTTATCTGCTTTAAATGAAATCTTTTGAGCCACCTGGCCTACAGAATATTAGGAAATCAGCATATATATCCTCCTCAATTTTTATTATACAATCTCCCTCTGGCCCCAAAGTTCCCAAACTTGATAACTTTCCTAGGTAATGTCTGTAGATAGTCATGATCCTAACCACCAAATCTAGACTTCTTGGTGCCCAGTGGTCTGATTATCACCCCCACAGACATGATCGCGTTCATGCTTGCCCTAAGAAGGAAGAGTAATGGGGAGGACAGGGGATTCCTCCATTGAACATCAAAACCACTCTGTCCAGCTGATTACCCAGGTGCTAGTATGTCTCTCAATAGGATAATGAGAAGATAGAGGACTACTCACTTTTTCTCTTCTTGCTGATCCCTGGCTTGTATGTTTGGCCAATAAAATCTGATTTTTAAGTCATACTGCATGGTGTTGAGGGACTCATTTCTAGCCCCGTTTCACAAAGGGTGGTGAAAATGAAGGGGCTCACCTTGCTTTACAGTGAAGATCACTCCTCAGGATGTAAAAACCCAGAGGCCATCAAAGAAGAGATCCATGGCTACAAATTCATGAATTAAAAAAAAAAAAAATCAATGGAGCAATAACTACTATAAAGCGAAATAAAAAAACAAGTGACAAACTGGGGAAAAATATTTGCAACTTACATCACAAAGGGCTCATTTCCTTAACATAAAGAGTTCCTGCAAATCAATACCAACACCCAATAGGTAAATGGGCCCATGATACGGATAGACAGTGTATAGAAAAGGAAGTACAAAGGAAACACTAACACAAATGATTCTTAAACATATGAAAATAGAAATATTATTTTAAAATATACAAACACAATACTCCATTTTTTGCCTCTTAGAATGGCATAGAACACAACGTATGATAAATAGTCCGGGGTCTTGACAAGAGCCTGAGGAAATGGGCAGACTCACTGATGGGAGTATAAATCGATACAACTTCTAGGAAGGGGATTTAGTAATATCCGTTCCAAGGATAAATGCACATATCCTTTCAACCCATATTCCAACTTTAGGGTTTATTCTGCAGGTACACTTGCACATACACGAACTGAGTGATGTACAATTGCACTGTGATGAAAGCAAAATATTTTAAATCACCTGAAAACAACAAGGAGAACAAGAAACTTTATCTTGGATGAAATGGCTAAGCCACACTTACCCTGAACCTTGACATGGATGAAGAAAGGTTCTGTTTTCTGTGGTGATAATCTAACCCGAGTCAGAAAGGAGATCCAAGTGGAGAGATTGTACACAGAGCTGGCAGGACTCAGAATATATCAACACTAGTGGATGCTCGAGGCGAAAAACCAACAAGGCCTTGCTCAGACAAGACTTTGTGCAGGCCAGCTGTTGAGGTTTCCCTGCGCCGTTTGAGATCACAGCGGAGGAGGGGCAGCAGGTGAGGGAAGGAGGCTGCAGACCCAGTCTCTTGGCAGAGCGACGCCCGGCAGAGGAACAGCTGTCAGGAGTCAGCTGCCCTGCAGTTGCTAACCTTTTTCTGTGAAGAGCAGGAAAGGCTACACCAGCTTACATAAGTGCACATACAAACTCTGCTGGGGTCACAGGGGCTTGGGAGAGGTTTGACACATCACACTGGCCCCTTCCCCACAAGTTTCAGCAACTAGGTTGTCTAGGCAGTGGGGTCTCCGGGACACACTATTTATGTGGTATTTTATGTGAACGGTGCCCCCCTGGAAAGAGTACAATTTGGATGTGGCCTGTGGCGGGCTGGCACGGCCATGGCATACTCAGCCCCACATTGGGCACCTTATGTGCTGCGCCAGTTCAGCCAAGTTTGGTGAGCCGGGGGGGGGGGGGGGGGGGGTGGTGAAGGATTGAGAAAAGACAGACAAGAGAATGAAGCTGGGTCTCAGCAAGACGCTGCCCTCTCTGATGGAGACAGTGCCACAGACTACAAGCCATGTCTTTATTTTATAGCAGATGCCACAAGGCAAAGTAAGGGCGTGGTCAAGATGTTTACAACATTCTCATGGGTTTCGATCCTACTCAATTACATGCACCTGAACTCTATCAAGCCCACATCACTCAGGCACGTGGGGCCACGTGTTCGGACCATAGGTTCAAGCTTACAACTACAGCTGTTGGCTATAATTGTGCTGCCCTCTAAGCTGGGACTCGAACGTGGTCATGAGAGGACTGCGCCCTCTCATTAGTCCGAGGCTTGAACCTGTCCAAATACTGTAGCCGCTCTCCACAGTTGTCCCTTGGAAATGTTCGGTGGGTCAGCTGTGAAGGAAAAAGTGCCCGTACTTAAAGGTGAAAAATAATCAAAGGGGAAATAGCACAGATCTTTGTTCTTTGTTTTTTGTTTTTTACAGAGAGGAAGGGAGAGGGATAGAGAGTTAGAAACATCGTTGAGAGAGAAACATTGGTCAACTGCCTCCTGCGCACCCCCTACTAGGGATGTGCCCACAGCCAAGGGACGTGCCCTTGACTGGAATCGAACCTGGGGCCCTTCAGTCTGCAGGCCAACGCTCTATCCACTGAGCCAAAACAGTTAGGGCATACAGATCTTTACAAAATACAAAAAAAAGGGGAGGGGGGTGGAGGGAGAACATCGATAGGGAAAATGATTGGCAGATAAAGAACTGCAACAGAAAAATCTTGCCATAATGCCTGTGAAAATTGTGACCAAATAAACTCTAGGAACAACAACAAAAAAAAAAAAAAAAAAAAAAAATCACCAGGAAAAAATAACCTGTCTATAACAAGCACTCAAAACAGAGATATAAGTGTTCAAGGAGAAAATGACAACTAAAGTTTAAAAGCGAGTTAGCAATAACTTTGCTTCTTTGAGGTAGAATTTATTTGCAGTAAAGCCTTGGATGTATAGCTTGATGAGTTTTTAAAAGCTAACCACACCCAAGTAACCATCATTCTGACATGGAGCTGGAGCATTACCAATACCCAAGAAGGCTTCTTTCTGACCCCTTCCAGTCAAAGTGATTGGTTTTTTGACCATTATCATCTACCATCAAGTAGTTTTATCTAGTGTTGAACACCCTATGAATGAAAACATCCATATATTCATTCACATTGTTGTGAACAGCAAGTCATTCTTTTTCAACATTACACAGTATTCCGTCATATGGATAAGCTGCTATTTACCAGTACCCACTAACATTAGAGTGCTTTCCAGTTTATAACTATTATTAAAAAAACAAAACAAAACTATGAACACTCTTATACATATCTTTTGGGATATATAAACATTCATTTCTGTTGGGAGTGGAATTTCTAGGCCATAAAGAACATGTATATTTACTTTAGAATCCTTAAAAAGTTTTCCAAAGTGGCTATACTACTTTAAGCCAGGGACGCATCCTCCACGTTTGAGCCTCGCCTCGGTATTGTTAATTCTTTTCATCTTAGCCATTCTGGCAGAATCACTTCTTTGTAGTTTTAATTTACATTTCCCTGGTGACTCATATGCAGAACTTTTTTATGTCCATCTTTTTTTTTTTTTTTTTTTTTTTTTGACGCACTGGTTCACGTCTTTGCCTATTTTCTATTGGGTATCTGTCTTTTTCTTATTAATATGAAGGAGTTCTTTATATATTCCAGGTAGGAGTCCTTTGTCAGATTTATGTATAGAAATATCTTCTCCCAGTCTGGGTCTTGCCTTTTCACTCTAATGATGTCTTTTGATGAAAGGAAGTCCTTAAATTTGCATTAAGGTAATTTGGTCCAAATTACCAAAATTTAAATTTTTATTTAGTGCTTTTTGTAACCTATTTAAGAAATCATTGCCTACCTCAAAGTCACGAAAATATTCTCCCTTTTTTTTTTAACCTCACCAATCTGAGGGAGGCGCTCTGGCAAGAAGAAAGTTCATGAGAAAGAACTCTCTAAGTAAAAGGAATTTCGGAGGAAAAAGAGAAAAACAAACATGACAGGATGTTTAATTGGGAGGTTTCACTGATGCACCAAGTTTCGATAGATTTCAGATTCCAAAGTGAGGTGTGAGGCCATATGGAATTTCAAAGTAGGTGCCAAGAACAGGTTAGACAACTGACCCACACTGAGGCCCTGAGGTGCTGAGAGAGGAGAGAGGGAGGATACTTACTGTGAGGAGGGTTTCTGTGGAGGCAGCTGTGAAACCGTCTCCTCAAAGGCAGGGGGCCTTCAGCAGGCCCCCCTGAGGCTCACCATGCACTCCTTGTAGGATTTGTTACGGGGGGGCCCGTGACTTGGAAAGCTTAAAAGGTCCTGGTGGTGGAGAAGAGGGACACAGGAGCCCCAACCCTAAGAGCACAGAGCGGAACTTCTGTTGTCCAGAGGACACAGGTGGAAAATGTTGGCAGAAGGTATGCCAAGGGCAAAGCAGGTGCAGACAACAAAAAGTAAGGGCAAAGGGGTTGTCAGTGAAGGCCCAGGAGTGGGGTGTATGATGGGCCCACAAAATTGCCCGTGAGCGTGTTTCAAACATTGCTAGGTCCAGAGAGGGATAGACAGCCAGTATCAGTGAGTAAATACTGGTCACTTCTCTCCATTCTCAGCTATTCCCTCCCCCACCTTTCCTGGATCACAGACTCACCGGCAACAACCCCAGCTGAAGGAAGGGAGAAGTCTGCATGACTAGGGTGTAGTTATGGTTGTGACTTAACGCCACCGTAAGGATTTTTATGGCCTGAGAGTGACCAGAGATCTGATGGAAGAGCTTGAGTCTTCAACCAGAGAGGAAGGCAAAGGCTTCCCACACCCCATGAAGAGCTTTAAAAGGACAATAGGAGATAAAAAATAAAGTTGCTTCTGGGAGCGCAAAGCACAAGCCCTGCTTACTCATTAAGCTGGTTACACAGAAGGATTAGTTAACAAGGGTAAATTCAAAGGCCCAAATTTAGTATATAAATTTTTTCATTACTCTTCATTCTAATTATTGCTTATCATGAGTGATTAGAGAGATCTATTAAGATACATAAAATGCAGAGATTGATGGAGACCTGTGCAGACATCAAGAGAAAGAATAAATAGACTGAATGGCAGAACAACCAAACAACCAACCAATCAAAGTGTAATATGCTAATGATATGCTAAGGCTGCTCAACTGCTCACTATGATGTTCACTGACCACCAGAGGGCAGACAGTCAACTGGTCGACCAGTCGCTATGACGTGCACTGACCACCAGGAGGCAGATGCTCCGACTGGTAGGTTAGCTTGCTGCTGGGGTCCGGACTGAGCCAGATGGGCCGGACACACCCTGGAGCCCTCCCGCAGTTCCTCCCCAGCCCAATTGTGCACCAGTGGGGTCCCTTTGCCTGGCCTGCACCCTCTCACAATCCAGGACCCCTCGGTGGATGTTGGAGAGCCGGTTTCAGCCCGATCCCGCAGGCCACTCCCCTTGGGAGGGCACCAGACGCAGGGCTCATGGCTAGTGAGAGCTGCTACAGCACGGCAGCTCAGCAGCTCGAGCCTCTCCCGATCAGGACTGATTGGGCGCTAGCCCTCGGCAGGCACAGTGGGGCTGGGATGAGCAGGAGCAGCAAGTAGGAGCTGCAGGCAGTGTTGAACTGCAGGTTTCAGCCCAATCCCTGCAGGCCACCCACCTGTGCACAAATTCATGCACTGGGCCTCTAGTATTACAGATAACAAAACATTAACTTTTAATCCTTGTAGGTTATCCAAAGTCAATTGCACAGGTCTGTTTATTTTATTTTTGTTTCAGAACAATATATACCTGATTCTTTTTAAAATATATATATGTATATATTTTTTATTTATTTCAGAGAGGAAAGGAGAGGGATAGAGAGCTAGAAACATCATTGATGAGAATCATTGATTGGCTGCCTCCTACATGCCATCTACTGTGGATCAAGCCCACAACTGGGTCATGTGTCCTGAACTGGAATCAAACACACATATATGTTTGTAAATGCACATAACTCTAAAACAGTGGCTACCTCTGGGGAGGGGACTTGGAAGTCAAAGGGTTTGGGGGAGACTTCTTTTCCACTTTCACAGTGGTTGGTGTTTGTTTTTCTCGCCATGTGTATATGCTACTTTTTCAAGTACAATAAACCTTAAAAAGTGGGAATAAATACAAACATACATGCCCTCAACCCAAAAACTTAACTTCTAGAAACTTGCACTCACCCCAGTGCAGATGGATGTGTCTTCCAGGTTGTTCACCGCAGCATTGCTTGTCAGAGCCAAAGACTGGCAACACGGTAAATGACCACCAATGGGACACGGGTGGAATCATGCGATTATGAAATTGTGGAAACCGTAGTCCCCCCATATCTGCAGCTCCTGACATTTCAGGCACCTACGGTCAACCACAGCCCAAAAATATTAAATGTAAAATTCCAGAAATAAACAATTCATAAGCTTAAAATTGAGTAGGGTGGTGAGATCTCATGCTGTCCTGCTCCATCCCACCCAGGATGTGAATCATGCCTTTGTCCAGCACATCCACACTCTGTATTCTACCCGCTACTTAGTCACGTCGTAGCTTCCTTATTCATCAGATCGCTATCGCAGTATCACAATGCTTATGTTCAGGTAACCCTTATTTTACTTAATAATACTTCATTCACATAACTTTTATTATAGTAAAGTGTTATAATTATTTTATTTTATTAAGAGTTACTGTTATTAATCTCTTACTGTGCCTAATTTATAAATCAAATTTTATCATAGAGATGAGCAGGAAAAAAGCAACCCTATATAATAAAAGCCTAATATGCTAAGTGTCTGACCTTTCCTTCAACCGTTCGACCAGTCGCTATCATGCACACTGACCACCAGGGGGCAGACGCTCCAACTGGTAGGTTAGCTTGCTGCTGGCGTCTGGCCAATCGGGACGGGGTAAGATGGGCCAGACACGCCCTGGAGCCCTCCCGCAGTCCCTCCCTGGCCCCGTTTGTGCACTGGTGGGGTCCCTCAGCCTGGCCTGTGCCCTCTTGCAATCCGGGGTGCCTCCAGGGATGTAGGAGAGCTGGTTTTGGACAAATCTCCACAGGCCAGGCTGAGGGACCCACCAGTGCATGAGTCCATGCACTGGGCCTCTAGTATTTATATAGGGGGTTTGCTACTATCCATGGTTTCAGGCATCCACTGGGGGTCTTGGCATATATCTTTTGTGGATAAGGAGGATTACTGTACTTAAAGGCTATAAGAAAAAGAATAAAGGAGCTCTTATGAACCAAAATCAAAGTACATAAGTATTTAATGCAAGATATATTTTTTAAAAATATATTATTATTGATTTCAGAGAGGAAGGGAGAGGGAGCGAGAGACAGAACCATCAATGATGAAAGAGAATCATTGATCAGCTGCCTCCTGCATGCCCCCCACTGGGGATCAAGCCCACAACCTGGGCATGTGCCGTTGACCAGAATCGAACCTGGGACCATTCAGTCCACAGGCCGATACTCTATCCACTGAGCCAAACCGGTCAGGGCAAGATACATTAAGTTGAAGTAAAAGGGGGAAGACAATACTTACATTCATTTGCTTAAATGTGCACAAAATCACCTTGAGAAAGTAGGTCAAAAGCATAAAATGGATTGCTTCTCTGTAGGGAAACTGGGCATCTGAAGAATAGGAGTGGAAAGGAAAGACTTCACAAATATTTGTTTGCACTCCTTGATTTTTGAGCCATATGAAAGAAAGAATTATCTATTACACAAACTCTGGATTTCCCTGGTGTAATATTACCAATAAAGCTGCATGCTATCCAACAGAGGAGCTCACTAGGAAAATAACCTTCTTTCTAGGGTCTCCTTTACCACCCTAAAGAAGTGGGCCTGCCTTACCGTTTCATTCATGCCCGAACATGAACTGGGTCTGTGTCTAGCGGATGCTTCAGGTGGACAGACTGGCTGGCCAGTTCTCATGCGAGAACGTCACTGTGGCCAATGACAAAAGATTTCTCAGCCTTTATCAAGGATGCGGACACCTGGGTGGAAAGCACTGAAGTCACCAGAGGGAAGACTAGAGGCACTGACTTAGGAATGAAGCTCTTCTGAAACGAACAGCTTATCTCCTCCAGGCTCAGCTGGCTCTCAGCCAGGCACAGAGATTATGGTCACACACCTGGTCACACGGCCGGTCACACAGCCGGGTCAGCCTGTTGTGCCTGTTTCCCAGGACAATGCTGTTTGAGCAAAAGAAATAGCCAGAGAGATGCAGGCATCACAGTATAAGACCACCACTTTTTATAATGATCGGTTTATGGATGCCAATAATTTATCAATATTTTAAATGTCTTCATGATGATTTAATTCCATGAGAGTGAGAAATAATATAATTCAAAAAAGAAACTAATGTACATGCTCAGTCTTGAGGAAACTGTCCTCAGAACACATCGCCATAATGATGATTAGACTACATTAAGTACGTAACATGGAGAATGCTAATTTACATTCTTTTCTATGTTGTAGTATTTGATGAGTGGCCATTATTACTTGAAGAAAAGACAGTAGGAATATTGCACATAATAAGCTATAAGTGCATTTATTCTCTATTAAATATGTTCCATATTCATTTTTATCACAGTGTCTGAGAATATTTCTTGGTCATAAGAGATCCTGGACCTATGCATAAGTCAGAACTCTTTGGGTAGTGAGTAAGACAAAATCTGGTCCAAACCCTGGCTTAAACAAAACAGGAACTTCCTTGATTATGTAACTGAACAGTCCAGGAATAGGGCTTGCTGCTCGGCTGCTAACTTGGATGAAAAGCTGAAATGGATCACCAGGGTGCCTCTCTCTCTCTGTCACAGCTCCACTCTCAGACAGGTTCCCACACAAGATATCAAGATGGCCACCACAAATCTGGGTCTTTCATTAAAGGTAAAAATATGGAAAGACAGAGAAAGAATCTCTCTTCCAGAAGTCCCAGCAAAAAGTATCATTATGTATCAATGATTCAGAATAAGACTTCTGTTAATCAATCAGTCTGGCCAGGAGAATGCAATATTTGGATTGATTTAGGTCACAAGTTCTGTGCCTGAGCCAGGCGTGGGCCCCAGCCAAATTAACTGCACTGGGGAGGCAGGGATTTCCACAGATGGGAACTAGAGCACAATGACCAGCAGAACGGTGGCTGCAGGGTGGGCATGAGGAGAGCAGCTGCCAGCAAACAGCTGTAGCCGGAGATAATTGGTATGCAAAGGAAACCCAATAGGAATGAGGATCTACCGAGAACAAGAAATGCACACTGAAAGCAAAAAGGTGGGAAATAGGAGATGTTTACATCTATCACTGGATATTAATATTTTACATTAAAGAGTCCATGTTTTGGGACTGGATAGGCAATTCCAAAAAGAAAGAATAATTCATGTTTCGGGACTTGATGTGCAATTTCAAAAAGAAAGAATAATTGCTTTATTCTTCAGAACTTAACAAACCCTTCATAGAATGAGCTTTGAGAAGAAAATTTTATCCTGAGGATTACTGCAAGTGTAAGATGACTCTCGCCTAAAAGCATGTCAGAAATGAAAGACAATGCTGGGAATCAGCTGCTGTCAGGTCTAGAGGGAATGTCTCATTCGAAAATGGTTTAGTCTTTTCCATGTAAGGCTCTTCTACAATATGTAAATTGGAGGTGATTCGTACAACTCGAGGAGCGGTAAGAGCTTGAGTTAAAAGTTTGGGTTAGAAGCAGAGTGACTTTTAAAAATACTTTCAAAGTCAGTTTCTATGCTCATCGAGCATTTAACGGCAAGAAATTTAATCCAAGAATTTTTTCTAAATCACTGCAGAGAATTAATAATTATCAGAGGAAGAAAAACCTTGTACTAGTTTCTGAAGAGGTATTGTCCTGCCGTTGGCACAGGGCCGGATGGATTGAGCGTGTGTAATTTCTCCGCAGCTCCTCTGGCAGGGGCTACTAGTACCTACCCAACGAACAGCTCTGCCCCACTTCTTTCTTGCTTAGAAAATAAATACACAAATAAAATAAAAGTCTTATCTCCCTTGGGCAATGATGTGCCCAGCTTCAGGGTCTGAGTAAATCATGCCACCCTCATTTCCCTTGTGTCATTCCAATGATGGTCATGTGGTCAAGTTCTGGCCCAAGAAGACTGCTGAGAGCCTCGATGTTTCTTCCTGCTTAAGGGAACTTAACAGGGAGAGAAAGAGAAGGCTCTTCTGTTGGCCTCCTTCCTGCCTGCCTGGAAGCAGTGAGGCTATAATGTCTAGAGCAGCTGCGCCATCTGGCGGTCAGAAGGGGCAGGCCACGAGAACTGCTAGTTTGTGCAAGACACCTTCCAGCTGCTGAACACCCCAGACGTCACCTGCTTCCACCCGGTTGTTAAGGGGCATAGAATGGGTCATATGGTTTGAGCACTTTCAAGAGGATATTCTGTTGCTTTCAGCCAAAATCATTCATAAGTGATATATCTCTCCCTCAAATTTCTGACTTGTGATTGCCATACTAAAAACCACACAGCTAAATTTGGAGGTTACATATTTGCCTTGCAAAACCTAAAACGAAAACCTCATTTTTTAAAAAAATTCATTCTTGAAGAACATCTATTTCCTATACTGTCCTATTAAAGTTTGTCCAGTGTTCTCAGCACCACCCCCAAAAAATGTCAAGCCAGACCCTTTTTATCATTTCCTTTGGAAAGCCATTAAATAAATTTATCATTCACTATGTCATTCCCTCACAGCTGACACCTGTCCTGCTGTTTCAAATGTGACAATCAGTAAGATCTGAGGAGGAAAGTTCTGAGAACACAATAAGGAAAAGCCTTCACTCATAGCCACACACAGACACAACAGGCCGCTCCTGAAGGTGGTGGCAGGCGTCACACACAGAGGAGCTTAAGTAGAATGGTAGGACTTCATAAAGGAAGTTTAAGTATCAAATGGAATTCGACTGAATAACCATTTTTGTTTCTATCAATTCTAATACTCAAGGATGGTATGTTCTAGGATCTCACATCTTAAAATGAAATATATCTATTTTGTTTGATTCTACAGAACTGTTTTATTACCATCATCCCTCCTTAAATATTTTATATATACCTTTTTGTTCTTTGCTTTTTGAATGCCTACTCATCATCCTTAATATTATGTAACCCAAATTCTATATCCAACTCTGTACTGAAATATTTTTAGCTTATTATTGACTAAAGATTCAGGTCAAATCCAACATATTTTTCTTAATTTTTATAATTAGATACTTTTTTATTATTAATTATTTTATTTCTGCAAATGTTGCAAAGAATCCACATGTATTTTTAGAATCCTCATTCTTATATATATACTAGTAGCTCTGCGCACGAATCCGTGCACCAATAGCTCACCAGTAGCTCGCTGCTGCCCTCCAGTAGCTCTCTGCCTGCTGCCCCGCCCTCCTGTAGCTCACCCGCCCCTCCCCTCTGCCCCCCTTCATAGCTTGCTGCCCCGCCCCCTCCTGTAGTTCTCCACTGCCCGCTTGTAGCTCACTGTCCCACGTTCCTGCTGATCCGTGATTGGTCATTACACAGTCGGTCATTACGCTTCACAGCTTAATGACCATTTGCATATTGCATCTTTATTATATAGGATGCCTACAATTTTAATATTTTGTTTTCTTATTTATTTTGTTCATTAGATTCCACATATAAGTGAGACCATATGGTACTTGTCTTTCTCTGACTGACTTATTTCACTTAGCACAATACCCTCTAGGTCCACCCACACTGTCACAAAAGGTAAGGTTTCCTTCTTCTTGATGGCTGAGTGGCATTCCATTGTTTAAATGTACCAGTTTTTTTATACACTGTCAGAGGGAAGGGGAGTTGGAAGGCTGGGTGAAACAGGTGAAGGGATTAAGCAAAAACAAAAATTAGCCCTAGCTGGTTTGTCTGAGGACCAAAGGGTCCCAGGTTCGATCCAGGCCAAGGGCACATGTATCTCAGTTGCAAACGCCTCCCCTGCCCAGGCCCTGGTCAGGGTGCATGTAGTGGGGAGGCAACCAATTGATATGTTTCTCTCACATCGATGTTTCTTTCTGTCTTTCCTTCTCTCTTCCATTTCCCTAAAAATCAATGGAGACATATCCTCTGGTGAGGATTAACAACAAAACAAAACAACAAATAAAATAAAAAAGTCTAGTCACAGTATGGTGATTATCAGAGGGAAAAAGAGGATAGAAGAGGTTAAGGAGGGATAAGAGGTGACAGACAGATGGAGACCAGACTTTGGATGGTGAACACGTGATATAACATGCGGTGATTTTTATAGAATTGTAAACTTGAAACCTATAGAATTTTATTAACCAATGTAATCCCAATAAATTCAATAAAAATATTTTTAAAACATGTTTTGAAGGCTAATTATTTAATCCATACCTTTTATAATAAATCAGTAACCCAGTGAGAAAAAAAAAGTAAACACTGTGAAGAAAAACACCTCTGTAACAGTTACTTACTATCATTGATATACTTGCTGCCTATTCTTTCCTGTTAGTTTTCACATGTGCCTTGCATTATTTTTCCAGCTTTTAAAGATATTATTGACATATAACATTTATAATGCTTAAGGTGTACAACGTGATGATTTGATACACATATACGCTGCAAAATGTTTACCACAATAAGGTTTGTTAACACTTCCATTGCCTCACATAATTATCTTTCTGTGTGTGTGGTGAGAACATTTAAGATCTACTCACTTAACAACTTTCAAGTATATAATATAGTACTGGCAGTTACCGTCATGCTGTCCTTCAGATTCCCAGAACTTACTCATCTTCCATCTGGAAGTTTGCTCCCTTCTTAATCTTTATCCTCCCTGGACTTCTCCTGCATCTGAGCCTGTCTTCCAAGCCCTGCTTGAAATTCTCTTGCTCCTCCCTTCCAGGACATTCCAGAGGGCTTATTCCTTGTAGTTCTTATCGAGATGCAAGTAAATCATCTGGGGGAACTTGAATTCCACACTTTGAAGTTCTAGTCCAAGAATTCTGATTCAGTGGGTCAAGTGTGGGGTGCCTTTGGCCAAACACCCTGTTATTAGGGCATACATTTCCCCTAATCCCTCTCCCATCAATTCTGTTTTGTAAGCAAGGGGAAGTGGGCAATGGCTGTTGGTTAGGCTATACAGTTCTGTTCAATATTACACAGCTAAATTTGGATTTTAAACTAACAAGGAAAAAGGCTTCCCAGGGGATGTTAAAAAGGGGAACTTCTCAAGTAGTAGAAAGCCCACTAACCATAAGGAAAAGAAGGGTAATTTAAGCTGTGTTAAAATTAATAACTTCTATTCATTAAAAGATTCCATTAAGAGATTGGAAAGTCACAGAATGGGAAATGATCTTTGTATCATATGTTATTGAAAAAAAGACTTGTATCTAGAATAAGGAACTCTGATGAATCCATAAGAAAACTATGGACAGCCCAATGGATATTCACGAAGACTGGAAACTGCCCATGAGAGAGCAGTTTCTAACATTTACTAGCCCTAGATCATGTAAAGCCGTCTTACAAACATGTCAGCCAAGGAAGAACTTCTTACCCCTCCTCTTGCCTTCCCACCACTCCTGTTCTCACTTTTCTCCTGGCTCCTTTTAGAGTTACTAACAAAGAGCACATATCGTATAGTCAGAAAGGAGGAGAGTGAGAAAAAGAAAATCAGTACACACAGGTCTGTACCTGCAGCAGGTAGTAGCAGGGAAAAGATTTAATTAAGGCTGCGTTCACACAGTGTTTTAGTGGCCTTTTCACTGGGTATATAATTCTATACTGACAACTTTTTACTTTAGCACATTAAAGGTTTCATTCCTTAATATTTTGGCTTCCATATAATTGCTGCTGAGAATTCAGCAGTTCGTCCAACTATTACTTCTTTGAAAGTAAGTTGTCTTTTTGCCTCTGGCTACTCTTAATAGTTTCCCTTTGCCTTTGGTGTCCTCTGTTCCCTATGGTATGACTATGCGTGGCTTTCTTTATAGGATTCTGCTTGTGATTCATTGGGCTTCCTGAATTTGTGAATTGATGGCTAAAGCTGAAAAATCCCCAGCCATTATCTCATTAAAGGTTGCTTCTGCCCCATCCTTTTATACTTGAGACTCCGATTGAACATGTTAGACATTTTCATTCTATTGTCTTCTATCTTTTCCCACTCTTTTTTTCTCTTTGAACTTCATTTGAAATGGTTTATTTTTACCTGTCCTCATGTGTACTAATTCTTTCTTAACTGTATCTAATTTGTTTTTAAATCCATCCATCGATTTAATCTAGGTTACTCTATTTTTTTTTGCTATTAGAATTTCTATTTGTTTTTTTACAATTCTATGTCATTTTTAAAAATACTGTACAGTTATTTTCAAACTTTACTTTTATCTATTTGAACTTTATAAGCCTCGTTGCTTTATAATTTATATCTGGAATCCTTGAGGGTTTGTTATATTTTTCTTGTTCATGGTGTTTTATCGTCTTATATACCTGGGTACTTTTTATTATGTTCTGACAATTGTATTTTTTATTAGTAGTAAGCCTCCTATGATGTTCTCTTTCTACAAAGATAGTCTCTATTACTTCTTATCAGGCAGTTAGAGGCACCAACAATCCAAGATAACCCCACTCCAGTTTTAGGACTTGAGACTTTCTAGGTTACCCAGATGATTCAATGCAAGGGTTGGTTTACTATCAATTCACCTTCATTTCTAGTATCTGCTCTTTTAGTCCCAACTCAAGGTGCTGGGCACTTAGCCCTGGTGGACCCTAGATGCCAACTTTTGTCTCTGGATTATGAAACGTCAGGACAAAATGGTACCACACCATGGTCATCTTTGTGGATTTTCATCTTTCCAGGACCTTAGCCTAGTAAATTCTATCTGTTACTTTGTTCGTTCTAGAAAGATGCTTTTATATTTTGTTCAGCATTTTAGTTGTCTTCAATGGAGGGATGTGTCAAAATTACCTAACTCAGCATTCCTAGAAGTGGAAGTCAACCTCAGCTTTTTCATTTCCTCCTGCTTACCATCCTGTAACTTTTCGAGGAAGCACAGACATAGTAGAAACAATTAAAGTTGGGGTTTGTGCATTGCCCTCTCCATTAATTTGTTGTATGGATTAAAACAAATTAAAATTAACCCCTCTATTTCTTTAAGGAAGTTAAAGGAAAATGTTGAAGAAAAATATATCACTTAGTCTTGAAAGAACTTTTGGACTATCCTCCGAAATGGTTTAGTCTGTGCTGATAAATATAGCAAATTGACAACCTATCAACTAAACAAACAAAAAAAAATTGGGGTTACCCAGTTATTCAGATTTAATAAAAATGTTAAATAAGATTAACTTTGACCATGTTTTGTGTTATTCATACATGATATACTTTTCTATTGGTCTTTCTTCCCAGTCAAACATGAAAACATAAGATTTCCCTTGCTGCCAATATTTTTGATAATAGATGTTTACCCGTATAAGTACTAAGCTTTCAAATCTGTATGAATGTCAAGGATCACAAATTATGTTTTAAACAATTGTGGAAATTTTAAAACAAGGCTAATGAAAGGTAGAATTGTTCATGTGATAACCAAGCTAGCCTAGGTTATGCTGCAGAAATTGGCTTAACCCACTGAAGTTTATTTGTCACTCACATGGAGTTGGCTGCAGGAACTGTGGCTCTTCCGGGCAGATCCCTTCCAGGCATGCCTGACATCCAGGCTCTGTCCACCTTTTGGTTACACCATCTCGACATTTGGCCTTTGCTGTGGTGGTGGCAGGAACAGAGGATCAAAAACGAGCAAGTGCTCTTCTCGCTAGGCTTTGTCCCAGAAGTGACACACGCCACTTCTACTGACAGTTCATTTGTCATAACTAGTCACACAGACCCCCCTACCTGCAAGGGAGCTGGGAAATGCAGGGGAGCACATGGATAGTCAGCGATTAATACATTAAAATAAATCAGATCACTTCAGATGCGATTGAACTTAAGATGAACCCCTCGGAATATTTCCAAGTAAAAGTTATTCCCGAAACAATAGAAAAGCTATGGTGTGATTTCCAATATTTGAAGCCGATCCCTCCCCCGCCACCCCCCCCCCCCCCCCGCCACACACACACAGTGATTAATTTTTTTAAGAGGTTCTGACAGCTTCAAAAAACACAGAACTTTGTTTATTCTTGGATAGTTGCCTTATATTTAAAAGAAAAGAATTTGACAGAGTAACCTCTCGTGTCACTTAAGAGTTCTTGAAAAGATTATTTAACAACCAAAGACAGTTACTTATTTCAACGCGGTGTAATTGTTTTCAGAATTCTAGTTTTTTAACCAAAACTTTAACTGTACACCAGAAATTCCAGTTCCTTAAAAAAAAAAAAAAAAAAAAGCATTTGACAAATGAACTGGAGACGCAGGTAAATCCCATGCATCTGGTTTGTATCACACAGGATTTCTATCCAAGGACCTTCATTTTTTTAAAGAATGCATTTTGTTTCACAACATAAGTTCTTAAAAAGTGAAACACCATTCCTCAGTGCAATGGCAAGGGGTGGGTCAGCTTATTCAAAAATTAACAAGAACTTACACCCGTAAAGCTCCTCTCTTCATATATAACATAGTGTGTCTAAGTTTTAGCAAGAGGACACTTCCATAAGAGAATTTTGCTAAATTTGTTATAATGCTTCCTGTGTTCTGTGTATTGGTAAAAAAAATTTAAAAAAATAGAGAAATTACTGGTAATAGTCTCTAAACTTGTGGTTGCAAAATCAGATGTTATAGGGTCTAAACGGGTAGATGAAGCAGATACGTGGGAGTTGTGGAGATAGTCCAATTATTTGGAGTTCCTTGGAATATACTGAATTATGACATTTCTAGGGAAAGGCATAATATTTTAATTTTAAAACACCAGTAGGGCTGGAATTTGAGGGGTGAGCCAACTCGAGGGCTAGCAGGACAAAGGAATTGAGCTTTATACACGAGAGTGGTTATGAAGATGGGGTGGAATCTGAGCTGGGGAGGGAGCCCAACAGTTCTGTTGCTGCAGAATTCATTACTGGGATTAATTTATTATGGGGATGACCCCGTAGGGCAAATCTCCCATTCATAGTTTTTCAGCCAGACTCCTGAAGTCATTGCTATTTGCAATGTGATGCTTTTACTCTTGGTTTGTACCACTCATTTTAAAACATGGCTAATGAAATTAGCACTACTTTTGTCTGTACTACTCATTTTAAAACATGGCTTTAGGAAGTACCTTATCCTCTGCCTGGCAGGAGCGCAAATGAATGAAGAAGGCCCCACCTGACAGGCTGCTGTCCAGTCATATCCCATCTATCTTCCTCCACGATGTGTGGTTTGGACGGAAGCGTTTCTTCTCTAGCCAGGTGTCTGTCCTGCGGCAAACACAGGGCCTTGCTTGTGGTCCCGCTGTGATAATGTGATCCCTTTCGTCGTTTCTTCGAGCTCATTCCTTCATAGTCCTTCGTTTTTCATAGGAGAAGGCATGCGCGCGGGATATCACACGCATGTTTCAGCGAAGAAAGATGCTGTGGGGCCACGCTCGGAAGCACGCGACCGGGTTCCCACGTGGTTGCAGTCGTGCAGCCTCCATTCACAGTCTCCCTCCCAAAGGCTGGTCAACAAATCCTGAAGGTGAACGTTCAGTGAGTTCTGAGCTTGCCTTATCGTGCCTTAAGTTAAGCTGCTTGTCAATTCTATTATATTTCACTGCAACACACACACACACACACACACACACACACACACACACACACACACACACATTTTTGTCTCCATTGTTTTAAGGAAAAGCCGCTTGGGATCTGAGCCTGACAGCCTCTGTGCTCTGGGAAGAGGGTACTCAGGGTCAACGGTCAGATCAGGTGAGATTGGAGGCAGGTGAGCAGGCTCAGGCGGAGACAGCTCCTGTCAGGCCTCCCACAGCGAGCTGACTGCCAAGGCAAAGGACCTTGAAATTAGGGCGAGAATCTGATTCTGCTGAATCCAGAAAACCTCCCCAAGACAGGCGAAGGTGACGTTACCAGCTAAAAGAAACCACCCCCAAACCTGCTCTGTCTGGTGTCCTAGGGCCCTGCGAACCAGGATCGTCCTCCCTCCGCTTTGTCCAGGGCAACTTCTAAACACCATGCAGACCTTGGGTTCATCCCAGGCGAGACTAATGCTAATTAAAGTTATTTGTGAAAGAAACATAGAAATCAGTCATTCAGTTAAGTCTTTAAGCCCTGAAGAAGGCAGGGGAAATTCCAAGAATTCTGGGTCTGAGAAAAATCCAGGAATTCCAATTATGCAAGGGGAACCTGTGTCACAGTGTAATGACCACAAGCAGTAAGTCACAGTCTGTAAATCCCAAGAACTATTATGAATTGTGGAGGTGAAGGATGAGGAGAAAGCAAAGTATCACCATGACCTATAAAGTTCTGTCCATTAAAGAAAGAGGTCAGAGATAAACATTAGAGTTGTATATCAATGTAATATCAATATTCTCGGTGAAAATAAATGATCTTTAAAAACAGACTGTACATGCCCTAACCGGCTTGGCTAGTGGATAGAGCATCGTCCTGGGGACTGAAGGGTCACAGGTTCGATTCTGGTAAAGGGCATGTACTTTGGTTGCGGACACATCCTCAGGAGGAGGTGTGCAGGAGGCAGCTGATCGATGTTTCTCTCTCATCGATGTTTCAAACTCTGTATCCCTCTCCCTTCCTCTCTGTAAAAAATCAATAAAATATATTTTTAAAAAACAGATTGTACATTAATACATTTAATAGGAATAAATATGAATACGTTAATCCCCTAAAAGCTGGAGTAGCTATAATTATTAGTATCAGACAAAGTTGACTTTAAGGCAAAACCATTACTAAGGATAGAGAATAACTTCATAATGATAAAAGGTTTTATTCACCAGGGCGATATAAAAATTTTTAATGTATATGCACTTTATAACATAAGCTGGAAATATATAAAACAAAAACAGAACTAAAAGGAGAAAGATACAAACGAAAAATCATTATGATGGATTTTAATATAATTCTTTCATTAATTCCAGGTAGATCATAGACAATTGTGAAGGCAAAACTTTAAAGCTCTTAGAAGATAAGTTAGGTTAACAATTTCATGAAACAATTTTCTTTAAAAAGATATAAATATTTTCTACCAAGACATAGAAACATACTGATCATAAAAAAGAAATTTGATAAATTTGACCAAATTAAAATTAAGAATTTTTGTTTATCAAAAGATACCATAAAAATCTGAGGGGAAAAAGCTATAAAATAGGAAAAAATACTTACAATACAATACAACATTACAGTGTTGGTAATGTTCTTTTCTTTAACCTGTGATGATTGCATGGATGTTTGATTTATAAATTATACTTAAACTATGCACTTATATTTTATGCATGTTTCTGTATGTATTATATTTAAAATAAAAATATATACAAAAGAAAAGAAAGTTGGAAAATTACTAAGTTAAGCATCCAACTTAAGATGTTAGAATTACAGAATAAAAGCAAAGAGTACAAAAATAATAACCTAAGCAAGATATTATATAATGTAGTATATATTATATATGTATTATATATTTTATATATCTATAAAATAGATTATCTGTTTATATATAAACTTATTTATTTTATACAAAAATTTCATATTTTGTATAGAAATTATATATATTTATATACATATAATACATTAGATATATAGTTAAATAGAAAATAGAGGAGCATCAAAGCCAAAAGTTTAGTTATTGAAAAGACAAAACTCTTTTGGTTTTTTTAAAATATATTTCTATTGATTTCAGAGAGGAAGAGAGAGAAATAGAGAGATAGAAACGTCAATGATGAGAGAGAATCATTGATCGGCTGCCTCCTGATTGATTGCCCCCTACTGGGGATCAAGCCCGCAACCTGGGCATGTACCTTTGGCTGGAATCGAACTTGGGACCCTTCTGTCCGTAGGCCAACACTCTATCCACTGAGCTAAACCAGCTAGGGCAAGACAAACCTCTTTAAAGATTAATCAAGGAAAAAAAGAAGGTAAAAATAACATTAGAAATAAAAACTAGGATATAACTACAAATGCTTAAGAGATTTGAAAAGGTAAAAACATATTTTGAACAACTTTTTTAAAGAAATAGTTTTAACAACTTTTAAAAATATATATATATTTATTAATTTCAGAGAGGAAAGGAGAGGGAAAGAGAAATAGAAACATCAGTGATTAAAGAGAATCATTGATTGGCTGCCTCCTGCATGCCCCAAACTAGGGATTGAGCCCACAATTCTGGCATGTAACCCTGTTTGATGACCAGGAATCGAACCCTGACCTCCTGGTTCATAGTTCGACACTCAACCACTGAGCCATGCTGGCTGGCCTTAACAACTTTTTGCAACAAATTTGAAAATAGAAAAATATAGCTCACTAAAACTGACTCAGGAAAAAGTAGAAAGCCTGCAGGGTTTTATAACAATTAAAGAAAACTGAATCAGTTTAAAATATTCTCACAAAGAAAACAATAGACCCAGACAATTTTAGGAACAATTTCTCTCAGTAATTCCAGAAGTAAATAATTTCAGTCTTACTACAAACTATTCTAGAGGCTAAAAAAAGAAAAATTCACATAACTCACTTTATGAGGCTAACTTTACTTTGGCATCAAAACCTTGACAAGGAGAGTACATGATAGGAAAATTACAAACCAAACTCATTCAAACAGAGAAACAAATATCTTAAACAAAATGTTAGGAAAAGGAATTTAGCAATATATGAAATAATGATATGCCATGTCCAAATTAGACTTAACTCAAGAATGCAAGATGAGTGTGTATTAGTTATCTATGCTGCATTAAAAACAAAACATGAAAACAAAATGACAATATTCAAAAAAATTGTGGCTTGAAACAACAATTTATTGCTTCTCAGAATGCTATGGGTCGGCTGGGTTGGTTTTGCCTGGGCCACTTGCATGGCTGCCATCAACTGGGAACTCAGCTGAGGGGGTGCGGCCTAAGATGACCCCACTCACATATCTGGGATCTCATTTGGGATGTCTGAAATGGCTGGGATTCAGGGCCTCTCTCTCCATGAGGTCTATCACCCTGGGCTTTTCCATGTTTAGAGGAGCATTCTAAGAAGGAGAGAGCAAAACAACAAAGCTTCCTGAAGCCAAGGTTTAGAAATTACTGAGTGTCACTTCCACCATATTCTAATCAAACAAAACACAGGTCCAAGTAGATTCAAGGGGATGAATGGCAGGTCACAGGGCAAGAGGGTCGGAAGGAATTACACTATCCAATATTAAGACTTACAATAAAGCTTACTATAAAGTAATCAAAGTAGCTACCACGAGTTCAGTCCTCATATAGAGATTTTAATAAAGAGGAAAGTTTTCTTAAATATAAAAACGTTTATTATTTATTTAATTCAGTGGTTCTCAACCTTCTGGCGCTTTAAATACAGTTCCTCATGTTGTGACCCAACCATAAAATTATTTTCGTTGCTACTTCATAACTGTAATGTTGCTACTGTTATGAATCGTAATGTAAATATCTGATATGCAGGATGGTCTTAGGCGACCCCTGTGAAAGGGTCACTCAACCACAAAAGGGGTCGCGACCCACAGGTTGAGAACCGCTGATTTAATTGTTTATATATTCCCCCTTCCAAAAAAAAAGAATTTGAGTCATTTAAATAAATACAGTCCTGATTGAATGAATGAATGAATGAATGACAAGTAAAAACATGAGGGTAAAACAAAATCCAAAAGTCACTTAGAAGTAATACACAACATACCTCCTCTCCACCCTCCAGACCTGCCAGCAGATTTAGCTTTCTCGCAGCCAGTCCAAAGAAAGAAGGAAAGTCTGTTGCAGGTCTGTAGTAATTATAAAATAAAAGATAAAAGCAGATGCTCAAAAGAAAATATTCCCTAATTCTGTGAATGACAGAAATGTCTCTCATTTAGGAGGACAACTGTGGAGGCAGTGAGGGTGCCACATGTCGACAGCCTTGGAGCCAGCAGCCAGCAGCTTCCGCGGTGGCGAGAGGGAGCATTGCTGGCACAGACATCGATAATTTGACACCAGGTGTTGGCAGCCTGGGAACAGAGGACAGTGAGAGGCTGCGGACGGCAGTGGTGTGGCCTTCCGTCGGCCTCTGAAGAGAGAAGAGCAAGAACCGGACCGTCAAGACAGCCGAGAGAACAAATTCACACAACACTTGTGAGATAACACGTAGAGAGTCCAAGAACTCTTTAGGACAGTGATGGCGAACCTATGACACGCGTGTCAGAGGTGACACGCGAACTCATTTTTTTGGTTGATTTTTCTTTGTTAAATGGCATTTAAATATATAAAATAAATATCAAAAATATAAATCTTTGTTTTACTATGGTTGCAAAGATCAAAAAATTTCAAGGGGAGGGCAGGGGATTGTCAAGGGCGGGGAAAAAAAAGGAGACATATGTAATACTCTTTGTAATACTTTAAGCAATAAAACAATAAAAATAAAAAATGAATTTCTATATGTGACACAGCACCAGAGTTAAGTTAGGGTTTTTCAAAATGCTGACACGCCGAGCTTAAAAGGTTCGCCATCACTGCCTTAGGAGGAAACTGAGGAGGAAGAGAGAGGTTGCTATGTGACTATTATTTGGGACCTCAGATCACACATGTGATTTTTTTTTTCCATTTTTGTCAAATCACGACATATATCTCTTTTAAAAAATTAATAGAACTGTTAGCTTACAGTGGGGAAAAAAGCAGAATTCTGCCCCATTTGTGCTCACCCCCAAATTCCCATACCTTTTAAGGAACTTCTTTAAACTTTTGGTTGTTTCTTCTGGCTTTATCTCTATGTATCTAAATTATGTGCTTCCATTGCCATTTCTAGATTTTACTTCAGCTATGACACACTGATTTGCTACTATGGTAAAGATTTAGCTCTCTTAAATCATCTCCCTCAAATATAGCCACTCACATGTATTTACTCATTCCCATTTTCCAAAATTAGGTGACATTGGGCATTTTTTTCTAAATAAGTATTTATTATGTATATTATTATTATTAGTGTCTATTATTCACAGCTCTGA